TCCCCCTCCGCACCCCCTCCCTACCCCCCAAGAAGGCTGAGGTTTATTAGACATTCATAACAGACTGTGTAGGGATCAGGACAGACTGACCCCGTTTTTATCTTAAAAAAGCGTTTACGTATCCTTTGTTTGAGGAGTGGGGTTTAAACAGCTGATTAGTGCATTTCTTCTAATGGACGAATGGTGACTTTTGGCCATCTTGTTTATCTTGTCCTTGAGTGTGTTTTACCACATTCCTTGAGAGTCTGTTTTTATTGTCATAGAGCCGCATTCCTTGAGGGTCGGTTTCTGTTGTTACCTTGCCACAGTGTTTGTCAAAACCAGTTCTGATTGATCTCCTTTGTCAGCGTGTCCTTTTCCATTCCCTATCAAGGGGGGTGCAGGGGTGACCAGTAACTGAGTGACACTCAGGGCACCCCGGGCCTTGTACTGTTGAACACCTCCATGTACTGCCAGCAAGATGGATATATACTCTCTATATGAGGGGCCAGCAGAGGCCATGTGCAGAGGTGCGGAGGGCCCTTTGGGCAGAGCTGCACCCATGCCTGCATGTGGCACAGGGAAGATGGGTCAGCTCAGCCTGCTGCCTTGTCCATAGCAGCTCAGGTCAGGCTGTCCTAGCATCCTGGGTCCCTGGGAGTCTGTGGGGCTCAGTCCTAGTGAACTAGATGATGACCTGGGGGCGAGGCACTGCTGTTCACTTATAATAAGAAAGAACTGCTTCATGAAGTAGTGAGCTCGCTGTCTGTAGAGGTAATCAAGTGATGGCTGGATGGCTGCATTGAGGGGCCTCAGAGGAAGACTTGTGCTGTTCTCAGTGGCATGCTGGCTCTGCCCTTCGTGGTTTTGGACTCTGAGATTTTATGATTCCGGCATTTAGATCTTGGCAGGCAGTGGACTCAGCCCTTCTTGACATCATCCCTGTGCCAGGCGGGGGAGTTGGCCAGCTGATTGGCAGCTTTGGGGGTATCGTGAGGTGACGTGACCTGGGGTTTCGAGGGGACCACTTCTGACCCTGCACACCCCCTCCACCCGCCATTTAACTCCAAAATAGTTTTAATTAAAAATGTGCTCCCAGGCTCAATTAGGAGCCGCAGCCTGAATTTTCTTTTTCCTGTCGCCTTTACAATTCCATCAACACAGCTGCTTCCTCCTCGATGATTCAGCCTGATTCACCCGAGGCTCGGCTGCTATTATCCTTCCCCAGCATTCTGCGCAGCGTGGGCGGGGGCTGGGCGGGGGGCTGGGTGGGGGGCGGGCAGGGAGGAGGTAATAATAGCACCCCAGGTCCTCCACGGGTTCCCGGCCAGCCCGGAAATGAAGCATGTGTGTGTGTGTGTGTCCAGAGCCAGTTCCACAAGAGCAGCGTGCTGGACACCTCAGGGTCATTGAGAGGGCAGTGTCGGCTGGGGACCCTGACAGGGCCTATTTCCTCGCACCAGTCACCCCCTTTAAAGCGCAGATGGGGCGACATGCCAGGAGCCACAGGACCCCTGTGTTGGAGATGATGTGGGCATGGAGGTGACTGAGTTCAAATCCCTGCTGAGGTGTCAATGGTTCTACCCCTTGGGGCCTCAGTTTACTCACCTGTGTGCCCCTGACCTCATGAGCAGTACGGATGGACAAGAAAACAGAAGTCCATCGGGAACATCTGCTGAGGCAGGGGCCAGGCTGTGGGTCTTCTCAGCTGGGTGGCTTCAGGCAAGTAGATGAACTTCTAGACCTCCGTGTTCCTGTCTGCAAAATGGGACACTAATGGAATCCCTGGTGGCATAGACGACTGCTAGCTGGAGGTGGAGGGCCACTCGGGTGCCTCGGAAGAGAGGCGTGGCAATCTGTTTCTGGAAAATCAGACACTGAAAACGAGGGCACGCCCTGAGACCTACGGTGCCAGCCTACACTGGAATCTGCAGCAATCTGTAGAGCTTAACATCTGCTGCCAAGGATCTCTCCAAAGTGCTACAGAGAAAGGATGCCACTTTAAAGATTGAGGTGTGACTGACCCAAGCCAGGGCATTTTCGGTTGCTTTCTCGACATCTGGAAGTTGGACCGTGAATGAGAGAGACCACAGAAGAATGGATGCCTTTGAATTGTGTTGGCGAATGTATTGAATAGCGCACGGACGGCCAAAGGAACAAACATG